TAGGGTGGGGTGGGGGAGTGGGGGGTAGGGGGGACAAGGCTTTTTGTATCTCTTTTTCTATCTGCACAACAATCATGCATGTGTAAGCATGGAAGGCGGCTTGTGTATAATTGTATAGTTGTTGTATCTATAGGCAAGGACTTAAAACCTTCTTCTTTGATTCTACTATGGTAATGATTACTGGCTCACGGATTCAGAATTTGAAATTTATGAATTACTATTACACTAACTTTAAGTTTAACATATCATATTTTATGTATTTTTAGTTTATGATCGTAGATTTAATTTTACTTTTTTTTATATATATTATACATAAGGTTTAGGAGAGAGTTGTTGAGTTTCCTTGAAGGTTAAAATTTACAAATAGTCATTTTTCAGCTTTGTAATCGAAAATTATTATCATGAATTTTGAATTTTACATGTAAAACTCAATGACATTCTTGAAATTTTATTTGGGAATTTGAAACTCGGTGAAAATGACTATTTTATGGTGATAAGATTGGAAGTGATCGTTAAGTGTTATTTTTGCTCTCATATATAAATCGTAGGTTGAACTCTAGATCTAGCATGAATAATTATCGATTTTAGATTTTAATCAAATATACGTACAATTTATACCGTCAAAATTCTACTACTATCAGTGTATATAACGTAAATTCAGATAGTATCCATATATAGGAAAGGATTTAACCTTGTTCCATTCTACTATGATGATGATTATAGTGTTTTTTTTAGACTAAGGTGATGGAGTCAAGTGAATGATTATAGTTAAAGGGCATTTGAGTCTTTTCATAAAAGACAATAAGGGTATTTCTGTCATTTCATATAGAGATTTGGGCCTTAATATGGGCATTTTGGGCAATTCAAAAGTGTGTCCAATGATGATAGGAGTTTGGCCTTCCAAAGATTCGCAATGATGTTTTGGATTGGTTCGAACCAAGACAGGCCCATCATCACATCCACACCCCACCCCCCTTTTACCCCGCATCCTTAACTATGATTAATTTTTATTTTTAATTTTATTTATTTTGCATAATTCTTCTTTTGTCCTCTTTATAAAAATTTCTTTAGAACATTTATTGTATTAACTTGACTCATTTACCATTTTGAAGTTTTTTTAATCGGTGTTTGATACTCGTAAAGGATCTGATTAAAACTGAATTTGTAATGAAAAGTACTATATTAGAAGTAAAGCTCTCATCCAAAGGTAGTTTCATATAGGATATTCGAACTTAAGACATTTAATTAATTAAGATGATGAAGTATTTAGCTAGTTGAAACTCGGTTATTATCTAGATCGTAGTTGGTGGTTTTGAGGGGCAAATTTGGAATTTGGTACCTTACTATTGGAGCTAAAAAGAGGTTGTTTGTCTATTAATTTGATTCTTATATTAGGAATCAAAAATGAAAATTGATTAGACAAAATAAGGTAATTTTTAAAACTAATTATATTCAATAAAGATGGAATAATACATATACGTAATGCGATAAGATAGTTGAAATTCCTTATAGAGAAAATTTTACTATTTTATCCTTTTATAGCTATTTTACTATGTGTGAGTCTGAATAAGATGTTTAAAAAAGTAAAATAAAATAGAAAATATGTATTCATATGTGTTCACATTTTTTGAAAGTTTTTTAGATTTCGAATTATACCGATAATTAAGCTAAATTGCGTGAGTGAATTAATATTAAGCATGATAGTGTTTTGTTTTTTAGTTAGGTAAAATTAATGATAATAATAATCATAATTATTTCTGCCAAGGTATCATAAAGTAAGCATTATTTTTGCCATATTAAGTGTGATTAATTTGAAATAATTATGAGAATTTTAATTTTACAGATGGACTAACCTCATGGGTTATGAGTGCATTAACGTGAAAAATGAAATTTTTTTTTGATAGAAGCATCATATTCTTTTTAATTTTCTTTTGTCATTCATGTTAATAATGTTTTGGTTTAATATTCTTTTTAAAATCATAAGTTTTTTTCTCGTGAATTTTGATAAAGGCCAATTTTCTTTTGCTTTAATTTGATTAATCGTCGATTTAGATATTATCTATGACATTATTTACTTTAATCTTCTATGCAATTTAAGTTTAGCAATGGACGTTCCATTTGTAAAAGAAAAAAATTTACTTTTTGCTTATATGTTCAAATATGGGCTCGGGTTGATAATAATTGTGGTAGTAACGTTTCAAAGCTCAACTATTATTGACCTGATGCGTCAATCATGCGTAATTTCAGAATTTTTCTGTGAATGAATCAAATCTTGACAGTTCAAGTGAATATTATTAGTGAAACAAATATTTAATTATTTTAATAATAGTTTATGGCATGTGAATACATATTTGATTTTTTATTATTGGAGTATGATCAGTAAATGTAGAAAAAACATTAGTGTTGCATTTGATTAATACAAACTATGTTAATGATAATATTAAAAAAAAAAAACTTGAATCATAAATTTTTTGTGGTTTTAATTTAATATATATTAATTTACACTTTTTATATTTTGTAAAATCGAATAATAAATATTCTTTAAAAAGAGTATTTTTTTTATTAATTATTAAAAAGAGTAATTACTAGTTAGCTAAAGAGGGTTATTATGTTTGTTTGTTTTTGGGCTTCTGGCCTTATTTATTGCACAGTGTATTTGTTCTGAAAATACTAATGATGACAAAACCTATATAGCTAAAATAAATAATAATGGCATCTAGACTTTCTGTTTATTCTTTCTTAATTAATAATAAATACTACTAATAAATAAAAACCCTCTGCTTTTTGCAGCAATTGAAATTAATTTAGTCTATTTTTATTTATTTTTGTTATAATAATAATGATTTTGGTTTCATAAATGAATGGTAATGGAAGCATTCATAAAAAAGATTTGCATGGCCATAGATGTCAAAGGGCATTCATTTTAATTGAATTGAGTACACCCCCCATCCATATTCATCATCACTTTCCTACATTTGCCTATTAACTACAATTATTCACTTAGCCCTTCTTTTTACCCATTCAACACCAACACACACAAGGGGTAATCCAACCCCACCCCACCCCCACCCCCCACCCCACCAATTATGGTCGGATGGGAAGTGTGCTT